TTTTTTTAAAGTTGGCTGTGGGGGTGAATGTACTGTCTCTATATAAGAGTATGGCTGTGGGAGTGATTCTACTGTCTGTATATCAGTGTATGGATGTGGGGGTGATTCTACTTTCTCTAGTCTAACAGAGTATGGCTGTGTGAGTGATTCTACTATCTCTATATCAGAGTATGGCTGTGTGAGTGAATCTACTGTCTCTATATCAGAGTATGGCTGTGGGGTGATTCTACTATCTCTAGTCTATGACTGTATGGCTGTGGGGTGATTCTATTGTCTTTAGTTTATCATATTATGGATGTGGAGGTGATTACACTGTCTCTATACAATAGTTTGGCTGTGGGGGTGATTCTACTGTCTCTATATCATAGTATGACTGTGGGAGTGATTCCAATATCTCTATTTCAGAGTATTGCTGTGGAGGTGATTCTACTGTCTCTAATCTATCAGAGTATGGCTGTGGAAGTGATTCTACTGTCTCTAGTGTATCAGAGTATTGCTGTGGGAGTGATTCTACTGTCTCTAGACTATCAAAGTATGGCTGTGGGGTGAATCTACTGTCTCTAGTCTATCAGAGTATTGCTGTGGGAGTGATTCTACTGTCTCTAGTCTATCATAGAATGGCAGTGGGAGTTATTCTACTGTCTCTAAACTGTCAGAGTATGGTTGTTTGAGGGATTCTACTGTCTCTAGTCTATCATAGCATGGCTGTGAGGGTGATTACACTTTCTCTATATCAGAGTATTGCTGTGGGAGTGAATATACTGTCTCTATATCAGAGTACGGCTGTGGGAGTGATTATACTGTCTCTAGTCTAACATAGTATGGCTGTGTGAGTGATTCTACTGTCTCTATATCAGAGTATGGCTGTGGGAGTGAATATACTGTCTCTATATCAGAGTATGGCTGTGGGTGTGATTCTACTGTCTCTGGTCTATCAGTGTATGGCTGTGGGGGTGATTCTATTGTCTCTAGTCTATCATATTATGGATGTGGGGGTGATTACACTGTCACTATATCATAGTATGGCTGTGGGAGTGATTCTACTGTCTCTATATCAGAGTACGGCTGTGGGGGTGATTCTAATGTCTCTATATCAGAGAATGGCTGTGGGATTGAATCTACTGTCTCTAGACTATCACAGTATGGCTGTGGGAGTGATTCTACTGTCTCTAGACTATCACAGTATGGCTGTGGGAGTGATTCTACTCTCTCTAGTCTATCAGAGAATGGCTGTGGGATTGAATCTACTGTCTCTAGACTATCACAGTATGGCTGTGGGAGTGATTCTACTGTCTTTAGTCTATCCAAGTATGGCTGTGGGATTGAATCTACTGTCTCTAGACTATCACAGTATGGCTGTGGGGGTGATTCTACTGTCTCTGGTCTATCAGAGTATTTTCTTGGGGGTGAATCTACTTTCTCTAGTTTATCAGATTATGGCTGTGTGAGTTATTCTACTGTCTATAGTCTATCAGAGTATAGCTGTGGGGGTGATTCCACTGTCTCTAGTCTATCAGAGTATGTCTGTGGGGGTGATTTTACTGTCTCTAGTCTATCAGAGTATGGCTGTGGGAGTGATTCTAATGTCTCTAAACTTTCAGAATATGGTTGTGGGAGTGATTCTACTGTCTCTAGACTATCACAGTATGGCTGTGGGAGTGATTCTGCTCTCTATAGTCTATCAGAGTATGGCTGTGGGAGTGATTCTACTGTCTGTAGTCTATCAGTGTGTGGCTGTGGGAGTTATTCTACTGTCTCTAAACTGTCAGAGTATTGCTGTGTGAGTGATTCTACTGTCTTTAGTCTATCAAAGTATGGCTGTGGGGGTGAATCTACTGACTCTAGTGGCGCAGTGGTCTAAGGCACTGCATCGCAGTGCTAGCTGTGCCACTAGAGATGCTGGTTCGAATCCAGGCTCTGTCGTAGCCGACCGGGAGACGCATGGGGCGGCGCACAATTGGCCCAGCGTCGTCCAGGTTAGGGGAGGGAATGGCCGGAAGGGATGTATCTCAGTTGGTAGAGCATGGCGTTTGCAACGCCAGGGTTGAGGGTTTGATTCCCACGGGGGGCCAGTATGAAAAAAAGTATGAATGCATTCACTAACTGTAAGTCGCTCTGGATAAGAGCGTCTGCTAAATGACTAAATTCTAAATCTATCAGAGTATGGCTGTGTGAGTGATTCTACTGTATCTACCTATCAGAGTATGGTTGTGGGGGTGATTCCACTGTCTCTAGTTTATTAGAGCAATGCTGTGTGGGTGATTCTACTCTCTCTAGTGTATCACAGTATGGCTGTGGGAGTGATTCTATTGTCTTTAGTCTATCACAGTATGGCTGTGGGGGTGATTCTATTGTCTCTAGTCTATCATAGTTTGGCTGTGAGGGTGATTACACTGTCTCTATATCAGAGTATGGCTTTGTGAGTGATTCTACTGTCTCTATATCAGAGTACGGCTGTGGGAGTGATTCTAATGTCTCTATTTCAGAGAATGGTTGTGGGAGTGATTATTCTGTCTCTATTCTAACAGAGTATGGCTGTGTGAGTTATTCTACTGTCTCTATATCAGAGTATGGTTGTGGGGGTGATTGTACTGTCTGTAGTCTATCAGAGTAAGGCTGTGGGGGTGATTCTTCTGTCTCTATATAAGAGTATGGCTGTGTGAGTGATTCTACAGTCGCTATCTATCAGAGTATGGGTGTGGGGGTGATTCCACTGTCTCTAGTCTATTACAGCAATGATGTGTGGGTGATTCTACTCTCTCTACTGTATCACAGTATGGCTGTG